CAAGAATAAACTACAACTTCATTTTTGAGTTTGCACCAAGCACAGCCCTTAAATATAGAGATGCATTCCTCATTTGTACCACTTTCATGACTTCTGTGGTTGGGGCTATGGTCATCCACCTCCTACTAAGGGCCGGTGGCTTTTCTCCAACTCATGTTGACACTATTCCTGGAATTCTCCTCCTGGTAAGTAACTGCAACCCCATTTGCTTTTCGATCCTCATAATTATTTTGTTAAGAAAACTGAAGCATGACTTTGTGCTGATTTTCAGATTTTCATTGCCCTCCTGGTATGCCCATTTGACATCTGCTATAGGCCAACTCGCTACTGCTTCCTTCGTATAATACGTAACATAATATGCTCTCCATTTTATAAGGTACATATAATTGCATACTTATAGCCATTAGAATTGGTTTAATTTGTATGAAGTTTCAGAAACCGCAACTGAGCTTTTGTTGCTTTGGCTTATTTTACATGGATTCAGGTCTTGATGGTGGACTTTTTCATGGCTGACCAACTTACTAGTCAGGTAACTATTTTGATGGCAATCAATTTACACTAAGACAAAACAGATTTAGCAGTCATTACAGAATTATCAGTTTCAAATTCTCTTCTAACCAATTTCATTTCATCATCAACCATTATCTCTTTTGTATTTCAGATTCCACTGCTAAGACACTTGGAATCAACAGCCTGCTATTTTCTTGCCGGAAGTTTCAAAACCCACCAATATGCAACATGCAAAAACGGAAAGATGTACAGACAGCTTGCTTATGTCATCTCGTTTTTGCCATATTATTGGCGTGCCATGCAGGTAAGACTTCAAGGAACCCCTTGCATTTATTTGTTGATTTCCATGGAGTTGCACAACTAGTAGTCAACACATTGCATGGCATCAGTTTCTTAGTTTTTTCAATTATTCTTGCCCAACTTACACCCCTTTTTCCAATTTACTTTCAAGTGTGCAAGAAGATGGTTTGATGAATATGACCTGAACCACTTGGCTAACATGGGAAAGTATGTTTCGGCCATGGTGGCAGCTGGTGCCAGGTTAACATATGTTACACAGAGCAACCACCTCTGGTTTGCTCTAGTCTTGGTGACTTCAGTTGTGGCCACTGTTTACCAATTATATTGGGATTTCGTTAAGGATTGGGGGCTACTTAATCCTAAGTCCAAAAACCCTTGGCTTAGAGATGATCTAGTTCTAAAGAACAAGAGCATTTACTACCTGTCCATTGTGAGTTATCCCTTACCTAGTCATTTTTGGTACTACTTTTCCATAATATCTTTTTCCATAAAAGTTCTTAATAACACATCTTTTATTGTAGGCCTTGAATGTTGTTCTAAGAATTGCTTGGGTAGAGAGCATCATGCGGTTTCGCATCAATCCAGTTCAGACACATTTGCTAGACTTCTTCTTGGCTTCCCTAGAGGTCATCCGACGAGGGCATTGGAATTTTTACAGGTAATTTTCTATCCCACTTTCAAAAACAAGCTATATGTTCTTAAATGAAGTCTTCTAATACTTGAGACACTGTTACTGATCAGGTTGGAGAATGAACATCTAAACAATGTTGGCAAGTACCGGGCAGTAAAGGCTGTTCCATTGCCATTCCGTGAGACAGACTCTGACGGCTGATCAGATCGTTAAATTCAGGAAGTCCCTGACAAGCTGGCATAGAGGGCAACTGATACCTTCGGCTGTTCGTGTCACCATATACTAAAGATTCCAGGGATCCACATTTTGTTTAGAAGATCTCCTCCCTCATCATCAACCATCAAGCACAAATCCACTGCAAATCGCAGAGCTCCAAGTGCAAGAAAAGCAGCATCAAATGGCAATTACTCTCATCCACTTTGAATATGGCATTCTAACTTGGATTTGCTGATATCTGAATAAATCTGATCTCTTAGTGAATAGCCAAAGGCCTTTTTCCCCTCTATTCTCTGTTGGATAATGAAGAATGAACTTTTAATATTTGTTTTGAAGCTTGAAATGTATATTAGTCACTCTGTATAATGATGGGAACGATTGATGTATGAAGCAAGTGCTCCAATCCAACATCAAGCACCAGAAATTTTCTAACTGAACCTATTTGTAAAGCTTTCCAAATTATTGTTAATCAAATAATTATCTCATTCCTTAATGAATGCACAAAAATATGCAGTAATAAGAGCAGTTTCATGCATAGTTGTTTCGATGATGTAAACATCAGGGTATTGACAGAGTAAGGTAATTAACACCCACCTTGAGCTCTCCTTATCTCATGCAGCCTGGCTAATCTGTTTCAGTAAAATTTAAAATTGAAAAAGATATAAGGAAAACCCGTGTCGAGCTCCTCTGCTTTCAGCTCTGCCCAGCTGACGCCAAATGCGGCGGTTAGAGTTGGAACCCTGTGACCGTGGAAAATCAGTGGAAAATACTAGTCGATTCTGACTCACCAAAATTTAACCTTTTAGATCCCCCCACCCCCTGTTTTTCTCTATTATCATCCTGCAAAGAAATTGTTTGATTTGTACTTGCCTACTATATGATTCAATTAAATTCAATATTTTCTTTGTTTTGTTTCCCGCGAGTGAATTACATGAATTAAAAGGTGGAAACATTATTCGTAGATTTTAACCATTGTGTTATTCGTAGGTGTTCAAGAATTATATCTTGCTATCATAGATTTGCAGTGATTTAGAGGATCTTATTTAGTGGAATTGTTAAACTTTAACTGTTGTCTTCTGATTTATATGCTGGCTGTATGTAAAGATCTTTAGGATCCTCAAAGCTGGAATTTCTATAGCAGAATTTATTGTTTATGGGTTTAGATTTGTTAGTGTAATTGCTATCAAGAATGTCAAAGGCTATTTGTTCTTAAATGAAACATTCTCTATGTTAGGCTATATCCCTGGACATCCTGTTGGAGGCTAGATGGAAAACCTCCTTGAATTCCTTGTGATAAACTCCTTATTTACATGATTCTCTACCCTTTACTCCAGCCAGCTTGCACCTCAACTATGGTGAAAGTAACTATTTTTATAGGTGCCTGCTGCAACCCCCATCCTCCATGGTTGAGTTGCAATTATCTCTCCTATTTTGATTGCAAAAGGAAAAAAAACAGGTGCCTGCTGCAACCTAGCGTTGATGTTCTCTGTATGCATCTGAGCTGTTCCCTCCATCCCCAAAAACTTTTCCTTGCCTTCTTTCTGGATGCTTTAAATTGTTATAACATTTTGACAAATAAAAGGTGAATATATCAATTCGTGAATCTTGCTGTAAACTATGTTACTGAAAGCTTAGAAAACCTAAAGTCCGTAATTCTATGAGATGGTGGAAAGTAAAAAGAAAATTAAATCCCTTTCTGTTGTCACTATATGATCAAGTTTTACAGACTTTACCATCCTCTCTGTTTCTTATTCTTCAGTAAAACGCAAGCATATAAACTTATAAAATACATTTATCGTCAATCTTCAGGCTGTTGATGAAGGAGTTATAAACTTCAGAAGGCTAGTTTTTGTCTTAAAGACTCTGCTATTCTCTTTGAAAGGCAATAAGCAGTGGACTGGACAGTAATCATGGGATTCACTCCAACAGCACCTGGAAGAACACTTGCATCGCAAACAAATAATCCTTCTGCTTCCCAGCTCTCTCCATTCTCATCAACTGCACCTTCTTTTTCATTAATCCCCATCCTACAGCTGCCCATCTGATGAGCACTAGTGTGGGGGACCCATTTTTCTGCAGGGAACATTGGGCCTTCTACTGGAGAAACTGATTCTAGAAACTCCTCTAACTCCTTATTGCTTATCCCTTTACATCTGATGCTCTGCCCATCACTGCGATGGGTGCCTACCTCAACTGCTCCAGCAGCTACTAAAATCCTCAATGCCTGTCTCAAACCAGCTTGCATGTTTTGTCTGTCCAATGCATCAAACTTGTAGGTTACCCGTCCCCCTGCATGAACTTTTCCAGATCCCTGATCCCTTATTATTGTTATCATATGAGCTGTTCTGGAAAAATTTAGCATCCTTCTTTTCATGTCAATACCGGACTCCCAAGGGCACAAAGCTGCATACTGGGCTGGCCCTAGTGAAGGGGTTTCTATGATGGCTCGCACTTTGTTGTCTTCTGCTACCACCTTGTGCACTGAAGTGATTATTCCACCCTCATTTACTTTCCCCTTGAACTCTGAATCTGAGTCAGGAAAGTAACCCCAGGCCATTAGGACGGGGTGGAGATGAAGGTTTCGACCAATATTCCGATTCTTCAACCCACTAGAATGCATTAAAAGGGGTGTCAAAAGAGCACCACATGCTGATATTGTTACTTTGGCTTCTATATGCAGTTTCTTGGTGATATTCCTGTTTGAAGTTTTTGAAATTACTCCCAAGCATTTCAATTTCTTTTTACTGCCGATCTTGTTTTTCTCTAATATGAATTTCTCGGCCTTGCATCCTGTTAAAATCACTGCACCATTACTAACAGCATCTACTAGCCACGTACGATCAGTCCCTTTCTTGTCTCCTCTTCTGCAACCAAACCCACAAGATCCACAGTAATGGCTCTCTGAGGAATTCCGTGGCACATTCCCCACTTCAAGACCAAGATTTTTGCACCCTTTTCGAAGTATTTGATTCTGAAATCCCTCCTCTTTACAATTTTCTGTGACACCAATTCTCTCGCAAACATTGTCCATGGCTGAAAGATATTCAGGACTCCCAAAAAGTGGGATTTGACAGTCCTCAGCCCATTCTTGAAGTACGGATTTTGGTGTTTTGATGCATGCTGACCAGTTGACAGCTGAGCCACCACCCACTGTGGAGCCTGCAAGAATTAGCATCTGTCCGTCAATACTTGGAAGGATTCCACCTGATTCATATAATTGATCCATTGAGGGGCCTTCAAAGGGGGAATAATCTGACGGAGCAAAATAGCTCCCCTTCTCTAGGACGACAACTTTCAGGCCAGAACTGGCCAGCATTGCGGCTGCAACACCACCACCACATCCAGAGCCAACTATCACAGCATCACATTTGATCTTGTAGACGTTTCTTTCGGTATCTTCGGTAACTTGGAGGCCTTTCTGTATTAGGGATTGGAGAAGGGTTGAGTCCGTTTCGTGCATTGTCTCAATCATTCCTTTCTGAAGAGGCCTCTCCTTGCTTACTGGGTTCGAGTTCTCAACATTGTCTACCTGATACCCAATAGCTTCCCAAGCTGGGTTATCATTATTTTCACCTACCTGTAGATCAGAATGGTTGACATGAGAAGTAGGATTTAGTCAGACATTCAATGTGCAAATGATGTGTGTACAGATTCCCAAATATCAGCTTAGTCAAGGTCTGCTTTGCTGCTTTCATGCCATCCTTTCTTGTACTCCATAATTACTTTCTTGTTTTGTTTCATATTTTGATGATTGTTGACACAAACCCTTCACAACCAATAACTAAACATTACTTCCTATCTTTGAATTGGATTATGTACTCCAGAATGAAAGTGAAAAATTACATGTTTGAACTTCAATTGAGTAGGATTTAGACCCAAGATAAATTAATTAATGTGAATTGTTGATAATTTATTTAATTATCTTTGCATATGCAGAAGTAATTGCATAAATTATAGGCCTAAACCCTAATTCCTACCACATTAAGTACAGGCCTAAAATATT